CACATTATTTCAAAACACATTTATTGGTAGAAGGCTGTGCTGCTGTCCATGATGAAAAAGGGGGAAGAATAGTGACTGAAAGAGACTATGCAGCAATATGCATTTCTCATCTGAAAAGACAAACTAGGGGTTGACTAGATCAAGAGCAATTAAGGATCCCAAAAAGAATGGCTATGAGAGAAATAAAAATTATAAAAAAAAGTAATGGCAACAAATAAACTTATTAGGTTCCTTTGAGACAAATGCTGACCCACCTCACTGACAGTATCAAATTTAAGAATCTAGATTAGAGATCTTGCTTTGGTCTTTATACCAAGACTTGGTTGTCTGTTCTTATATCTAATAGAAAAGATAAATATCTTGGTACTATCAACTAAAAACTTTTTTTTTTTTTAAAGCACATGCTATTTTCATAAAACTCAATGAGAATAATAAAGCAAATTTTGGTTGTACTTCACCTTTTTGCTTAGGATCAAATTTTTGATGAGAATGTCACAATTGTATAAATCTATTAATCAAATTATATAAACTTCTCATCCTATCTCAGTATATAATACCCCTGGGATGATCGAAAATCAAGATAAAAATAAATGCAATGACTGGTATGTGGAGAAAAATAAAACTCTAGTATAGAAAGAAATTTCAAAGTTTGAAAGAAGCTACCCTGAGTGGATCATGGGAGAATTAACATGAATTGTAACAGACATTAGAATAAGCATTTTACAGCAATAAAATGATGAGTAATCCAACGGTGAAAATAATAATAATATAAGCTTTATTTTATCTACATGCCAGGAGCTAAGCAAAATGTTTCATCTCTCCCCAATAAATTTCCCTAAAATCCTATGGTATTAAGCTTTATACAATGCTGTTAAAAAGGCAACACTTATACTCTGTATTTTATGTATATTATCACTTCATGGTAAAACCGCATTGGAGAAAAATTTATATTGTCAAAATAAAGATGGAATGTTCTAAAACTAAAAACAAGCAAAACAAAACAAAACTACAAGAGATATCAGTTCACACTCAGTGAGTGATAAGTATGTGTAACAACTGGGATTCTCATATACTGCTGGAGGGAAGGATTAAAAACTTCAGAAGTTTCTCATAGTGTTAAACATCCAGTAACCATATGATTCAGTAATTCCAAGAAAAATAAAAACATGTCCACAAAAGACCTGAATAACAATGTACACAGCAGTATTATTCCTAACAGCCCCAAACTAGAAACAACCCAAATATCCATCAACAGGTGAATGGAGAAACTGTGGTATATTTACACAATGGAATAATACTCAGAAATAAAAGAAACAAACTACTGATCCATGTAGCAACATGGATGAATCATAAAAATGTTTCCCACTTATATGAAGTTGAAATACAGGCAAACTATTTATGATAATAGAGATCAGAAGAATGGTTATCTCCAGGAGAAGGGAGATTAGCACAAGGAATGAAATAACCTGAGATGACAGAAATAGTCTATATTTTGATTGGAGTGGTGATTACATGGATGTACTGGAACTCATCAATTAGTATGCTTAAAATGGGTGTACTTTATCATATATGGATTAAGAGCATTAAAAACTTTAAAAATTTATATGAGACTTCTATGGGGTCTTACAGAAAACCTATCTCACTTAGGTATAGCACATTGTAGGTAATCAATATAGAAGGAAAGAAGGAAGTGGGATAGGTGGGTGATTGTTTTATTTATGGCCAACTATGTATTCTGTACTACCCTAAAGGAATTTACAAATTAGTTCAGAATATATAACCTCTGAATCAGTTCATTCCTTAACAGCTCTCACAGGTGCCACATCAGCCTCTGAATTATGCTCTATCAAGGGGATCCACTATCAAATTTGAATCCTCCTGTCTTGCTTATTCTCCATTTTAACCCTTCATCTAGGTTGTGTTCACTGACTTGATACGCTGAATTTCCCCTGGTTTCTCAGCCACCCTCACCTGAGATATGGACTTCAGTGCGACAACCACTAACCAACTCCATCCTTTCATATGCTTAGCCTGCAGAACTAAGAAGTTAACCTCAGAAAAACCTTAGGCCCTTCAATTCACCCAGGTAGTGAGACTTTTAAATGTGAAAATAATAAATATAGCAACAGAACACATTTCAGAAGGTAATATTTCAATAGTTGGCAAATAGATCAAACAGGAATATTACTGAAGGCACCGAATGAGGAGATAAAGGCTGAATTTAAGCTAGGCTTACTATGAAAAGGAAAGAGGAACAATTGCCAACCAGGTGGAGAGACTTAAGCAAAAGAAAAAAAACAGGAAAGTGATATTACAGAAGAACAAATACATCCACTTGTCCAGACTCTAGAATAAAAAATTTATATATAGATATGTGTGAGGCAGTCTGGAAAAGCAGATTAGGTCTCATCTGATAATCACAAAAAGTTGTTGAGTAGACTGAGCATATATTACCTTATTTACGGATGAAGAAATTGTAGCATAGAAAGGTTAATACTTGCCCAAGATCATAAAACTACTTAGAAATAGAGCCAATACCTAGTGAACTTCATTTCTCCTGATTCGCAGCTAAATGTTCATTTAAATAGATCATGATTCTAAGTGTTCTCCTACTTTGCTTAATAGAATTCTTTAACCAAACTCTCACCATAAACCCTGTCCCGATTCATTTCTTCTTGCATGTATACTTTTCACCTGAAGCACATTTCAAGATATGCTTTAATATAAACCTTATTCTCTTACAAATAGCCCTGATTATTGACGTGATAGGTAAGGAGGTTTCTATACTTATAGGCCACAGATACATGACCAAGTCCTTCTTCCGGTGACTACTAAGACATTTTAGTTCCAATAATAATCTTTTAAAAAATTAACCTTGGGTTACAGATTAGAAAGTTACTAACACAGTCCAGTAAAACAGATTTTCTGCTTTTCATAATTTGGATTATGACATACGATTTAGTCAAGGGTGTATCTAAAAGCATAGGGTACAACTGTTACTGTCCTTCATTGTAGGAAATAAGGTAATTCATCTTTTACAAGAACATAAAATGGGCTTACAGTTTTTTATTTTCTTCAATAAAAACATGTTTAAATCTTTCCTATATCCCCTAAACCAGTGGTCCACAACCAGGCCCCACAGCAGGATATGAGCTGCCAGCTAGCTAGTGAAGCTTCCCCTGTATTTGCAGCTCCTCCCCAGCGCTAGCATCACGGCCTTTTAGCTCTACCACAGATCATCAGGCATTAGATTATTATAGGAGCACCAGTCCC